TTGCAGATTCACAAGGTTTTACATTGACCTATAGTCAATATTCATAACCCCACTAGTGATCAATTGTCATTTTTAACCTTTGCTATTACAGCTTGGCTATCACAATATATTATTAATGGAGGTAAAAAAATTTCCAAAATAGATTGAGCTATACAAGTTTGTTTCGTGGACTTCCATGAAATTGCTCCACCTCCGGTCATCAAGACATATCCGCTTGTAAACAATGAATATTTCACGTCAAATATTTCATGTAATGTATACCAAAAGTTGAGAGTATATTTTTAAATAGCTCAAGACTCTTACTAGCTTTACATGACCTACCGTTTTCTCCACGATTTGCTTGGGAAATGGTAGTTACATTTTAACCAGGCACACCCCCACACATCAAATATTTGTATGAAGGTTTGTTCTCTTTCTATAATTTCTAAGGAATTTTTATCCTTATATTCGAGTGGAATTTTATTCAGAAAATTTGCAGTTAGAATAGCCACCCCCACAATTTTTGGGTAATTCTGAAAAAATCAACAAAGTATTCATGCGTTCCATAACGCCATTCCATTAAGGTGAATATGATTTCGTAGTCTGATGAATTATGCAATATAATTCTTCATACAGAGCTACAAATTTGTCTTCCCAATCACTTCAAATTGTCTTGAAATTACAGCTCATCTGATTCGTTGTCTTATTATTATTTTTCTAAGGCATTATTGCTTATCTCTTTCCCCTTAATGGGTAAAGGGAGCAATATCTCGTGTAATCTTTTATTAAGGCGATTAATTAATTTTTATTTAACAGTATTAGTCATTTTTTTCTCCACCGAAACTTTCCATTTAGTTTGAGTGTCAATACTTAGTAATTAAAATTTCCAGCAACATCCATTATGTTGGCAATTTGATCGAACGACGATAGTCTCGCAATATATCAAAATATATTCACTTTTACGATTGTTGGAAATTTGTTTGCTACGACGGATTAGGGTTTGATGATCGAATAACAAACAGAAAACGTAAAGAAGACACAGATCAACGTGGTTCACCAAAAACAAGTTGGCTACCTCCACGGACAGAAACGGAGAACATATTTTATTGTAGGATTTGAGCCGCATGGCCTGACCGTATGGCTTGGCCTAATGGCTTAACCGTATGGAAACCTGTTAGAATGGGAATACATGCCTATTTATAGCATAAGTCCATGCTAATAATATTGAAATCATATATCTAAATCTATGATATAATATCTAGGGTAAACTTTTTTTTAGTTCCGTAACTGGACCCCCTTATCATTTTAGTCCCGTAAGTAGAGCCTGTCGCAAACTAGTCCCATAAGTGAAAATTTTTTGATATTTTAGTCCTCCGGCGCCTGAGATGCCCACGTGGCTCGCTGGAGGTGACGTGTCCGCCAGGTCAGCGACACGTGGTGGACATATAGATTTTTTTTTTTCATTTTTTAAATTTTTTTTAAAACTTATTTTTAATTTTATTTGCATTTTTTTATTTTTTAAATTTGGTCCAATTTAAAAAAATTAAAAAATAAATAAATCCACGTGTTCGCCAGGTGTCACTGACCTGCCGGGACACCTGGCGGACACGTCACCTCCAGCGAGCCATGCGGGTGTCTCCGGCGCCGGAGAACTAAAACAGCGAAAATTTTTCACTTATGGGACTAGTTTGCGACAGGCTCTACTTACGGGACTAAAATGATAAGGAGGTCCAGTTACGGGATTAAAAAAACAGTTTATCCTTTTTTTTAAATTACTAACTAAATTTTCAAAAATATCTCCAATTACATTTTCACCCTTTTTTTCATTTTTTAAATAAAATATTCATTTTTTTTTTTAATTCTTGTGCTGAGCCAAATAGACTAAACATGGAGGACGGATGGCGTATAAGAATTTTATTAAGTACTCATTTTCATAGTATTAGCATAGAACTTAAAAATTTAATGAAGCACCGGATCTAAATTGAAAATTAAACCCATAATTATGTACTCCTTCTGTCCCGCCACACAGATGACCAATATTTCTTTTTTGTACGTCCTACAAAAAATGACCCATTTTTATTTTTGGTAACTTTATCAATCTTAAACATACTTAACAAATATAAATCAATTTAATTAAACTTATAACATCTTACACATAAAACCCACTCAAAACCCCTTTATTTCTATCTCTCTCCTCAATTTACATAATTTTTTATCTATATTTAAAACTTCTCATTTTTTATACAACTAATTTATGGTAATGATAAATAAATAAAAATATATTTTTATTTATTTATGTTATATAAAATTTTATTATCTACAAAATGATATTCATATTGCATATATTTTTTCGAAATATAATTTTAAAAAATTTTAAAATATCAATAATATTATTCATATTAAAAATAATAAACTAATATCATAACTTATTATTAATAACTTACTAATTTATACAACCTAGAAAACTGTGTCCCTAATAAAAAGATTCATCCCTCATGAAACGGATGAAGTATTTAAGATTTCTGTCTGAATTTCTAGTTGCAGAAATGGCACGATGACAAAGGATATCGCTCAATTGTCATTTCCTTTGGCGGCAAAATCCGCAAAGTCCTTAAAAAGATTCACATAATGTTTATTTTGTAAAATTTTATCCATAATTTTATTGCTCCTTCCGTCCCGGAACAAGAGTGATGTTTACTTTTTGCACATAAATTTATTAATATTAGTATTATAATTGATTGTAGTGAAAATGACGAAAATACCCATATTAGTATTGTGTAATATAAAAGTAATGGCATTTGTGTAATATAGTGTAAATTAGAAGGGTATTTATTATGTTAGGTAAGTAGTACAATTACTAAATTAGGAAATTGTAACCTTGTTTTGGAACGAACGAAAATGAAAAATGGCAACCTTTTAATGGGACGGAGGAAGTATTTTAACTCTTTTTTAAAAAAATATCAAATCAAACATTCAATTTTTATTTATTTTATTACACTAAAATTTAATTAATTTTTAATCTTATTATATATTTAAACCTAAAATTTTTATTTGATAAATCTTATTAGGCCAAGGCACAGCCCACATTTTCAATAGTGCCGGGGCCCCAAAAAAGTTTCAAGTCTAAGTTTGAAGTCCAAATTCATTCTTATTTATCACCGTACTTATTTTTACTAGCTATAACTACTGGCAAGTCATAATTTGGGAATTGGGGGAGAGTTTTTTTAACCATTCAAGTGGTTTCATTAATTTGTCTCAACTAAATAGCGCTGGTAACGAACCGAACCGTTTATAAACTCGGCTATGTCCGGCTCGATTAAAGCTCGTTCGCGAACGTTAACGAGCCGAACCGAACAACATAAAAAAGCTTGTTTGGTTAACAAACAAGCTCGAACTTTGTTCGCGAACATTCGTTTAAATAATATACTTTATTATAAATATTATATATACATATAAAATTATAATTTATAAATAAATAAAATATTAATTTAAAATACATAAATAAAATAATTTTAAATTTTCTTTTTAATTTATATATAAATTAAAAAAAAAAACAAGACAAACGAGCTCGAACGAGTTTAATCAAGCCTAAACAAGCCGAATACGAACACGAGCTCAAACAACAAACATTCTTAATGAGCCGAGTTCGAACACTACGAACGACCTCGAAAGCTTAACGAACGAACACAAGTCTTGTTCACGAACGTTAAAGAACACTTAAAATTTGACTCGGTTCGTTAACAGCTCTATAACTAAATCCCTTAAACATAGTAGTCGTAGAATGATTATGCAAATATCTACACAAGATCTATATATATATATAGGGATGGCAACAGGTTGGGCCCAATTGGACCTAAGACTCAACCTGAATACACATCGTTGAATCCAAATCTGACCCAAACAACATCCAAAAAGACTCGAAAAAAAGCTTATACAATTCTTAAATTTTAATTTAAAATTGGACCAAATCCGGACTCGACATATATTAAAATATATATTATTAAAAAATATTATAGTAAAAAATAATAAATATAATTAAATATAATTCATATCATTAAAAATTATTATATATATAAAATTGATAAGGCCCACCTTTAGACCCAATAAAGATACACAATACCTAACTCATACCTATCTGGATACTCGAATAATTAGACCCAACTCCAAAATAGATGGGTCGGGTCAAGTCCGGATTCAAATCTCAAATCTAGCTGGACCCATTTGCCATCCCTCAACATCCTATTTGTAAAACTTTCAGGTTGCGTTCTTTCGCGAATTTTTCACATTTTTTATATTATACTAAAAAAATCAATTTTTTATATTAAAAAATATAGCATCAATACCTATATCATGTCAAACAATTATTCAAATTAAACTTTTTACTATTCAAAAATTCCAAATCCAAAAATCAAACCCACAAACAAACATACCCTTTATTTAAAGCATCAAAATAGACATAATCCAAACTAAAATTAAAATAGACATAATCCAAACTAAAATTGAATTAGATTTGATTTGATTTGATTGTGTAAAATACAATAGCATAATCCAAAAATCTATTGTACCGACGACCCCTCCAACTCATTTAAATACTTTTAATCCCGAAATCGATACTCCATATTCACTTGTGTTTCCTTTTTTATTACACTAAACAATATTCATCAACCCCAAATATATCTAGAACTTATTTTCAACCCCAAACATTTTACGAATTTCAAAAAAAGAAAATCTAAAATTTCAAATCCAAAAGCTATTCTTTGATTTTTCTTCCTATTCTTTTACTATATTTGAGTAAAAAAATATATTCTCACAAAAACATCACAGTAAAGATCATTTAAATACCAAACTCAAACAAAATCTTACGCAGTTTAACCAAAGAAACACACAAGTCTACTCTCAATACAGCAGCAAACTCAGTGAGCTAACTGCTGATGATTTCCCAGAAAAAAAAAAAAAATATATATATATATATATATATAATAAAATAAAAAAACAAAATGAAGATAAACAAAGCCAAGAACTCGACAAAAACAGGGACCAATATATAAGCAACAAAGCAAATTTGATTCGATTCAATTACGATAAAACATGCGAAAATATGTCCAATCCTATAGCAAGCTAAGCTAGCATTGGTTCAGAATAAAAACTTCCCAGTTCAAAAGTCTGTAAAAATAACACAGATACATCGTACCTCTAGTAGCGGTCCAACGAAGGGGGGCGCCCACCCCTTCTGGGGGGGCGGTCATAGGGACCAGGTCGATCCCTATAGCTTCTTCCCTCATATCGACCCGCGCCTCTACCTCCTCCAAACCTTTCTCCACCACCACCTCGCGGGCCTCCTCCATCTCGGTCATAAGCTCTATCCTTGCCATACCCGTTCTGCGGGTAACGCTCGGGCGGTGCATACCTGTCCACAGGGAAGCGATCTCCGGGCGGGGGGAACCTGACCGAAAGAATTAACGAGAAACAGGAATGTTCATAATCAATACGCTATAATAATCAATATTACTAATTTTTTCATGTTTGAGTGATTTCTAGAAGGCTACCGATCATTAGCATATCGATCTCGCCCTCCATACCGATCATCTCTACCATCATAACGATCTCTTTCACCGTAGCGACCTCGATCATATCGATCATCAATAACACGGTCGCGATCAGCGGCGTAACGATCGACTCGGCCACCGGCTCCACCATACCGCGAGCGTGGAGGTGGAGGCGAGAAGGTACGAGCGCCTCTCCCACCACCGGCTGACGGGCAGTCGCGTGCCCAGTGTCCCGGCCGACCACATTTGAAGCACTCGTCCTGCCCGACGGGCCTATCTCCTCCACCATAGCCGCCTCTTCCACCAGGAGGGTACCCACCCCCGCTGTAGCTATGGGGAAGTTCGTCGGCTCCCTTCGGCTGGGCTTTGTTAACAGAGATGACACGGTCGCCAAACTCCCTGCCGTGCATGTCCCTGATAGCATCCTCCATGGCTCGTCGGTCAGCAAATGTCAGAAATCCGAACCCACGAGGACGACCTGAATCCCTCTCCAACATGATCTACATAACAATCACACTTCAGATTACCGATATAACCAGGAATGCTTTGCAGAGAATGTTCCAAAACACTTGAATTGCAAAGATGAATTGACAAGCTCCGAAATCTTCTGAAATCAGAAAAATTAGTCAACACCGCCAATCTTTGAAGCTGTTTTTTTTCCCCCTGAATATGTGCATAAATATACAAATAGATTTGTACTCAGAGGATGTTATTTATCGCACCTGAAATCACATAATAGTCACGAAGAGTGAATACCGCAACCCCATTAAAGCATTGCTAATAGCATCTAACATGTTTTCAAAAAGCACGGTGCAAGTGGCAGAGAGTTCTTAGTCAGTGGAAGAATCAATGAATTCGAAGATTTCATCATCTGATAGTTTATTTACTCAGATCTCAGATTCCACAGACCTCGGACCAGAGGCAGGACAGGCATAACATCACAAAACAAGAACATTCTACCTCGAGCAAAATCTATTGAGACAGCCACCTGTTCTGGCCTAAACTGATTCTCAAAGAACATGATACGTCCACATCTGGCGCGTCTTTTACTATGAACTTAGTCTTGTATCAGCCCATTCCACTACCTCAAATGCCAGCAAAATCATGAATTGAGCAGCAGCAAATTTCCATAACTTACGGCATGATTTTGTTAATGATTTGATATTTAAAAAGATTCTGCATCTCGTATTTACTTGGGACGTTTAACAAAATAAATCCCATGACACGAGGATGATTCACAAATACTCAACAGCCAATACGCCAAACAATATGTCCTTCTGAGGTAGAAGACCTCAAAAAACTGAAGCACCTAACTCAAATGAAACAGGGAATTGCAGGAGAGAACTATTATCGCAGAAGTTTTCACACCAACTCTTAAAAAACACCACAACATCCACAACCGTGCTTCTTCAGTATCGAACTTCCATCTCAGTGGAATCACATGCTGCCTGATCAAATCGAGTGACAGGGAAAAGACAGAACCTAAATTAAATCTGAAATCTTTTTGTCAAACATCACTGCCTCTGTCAAAACAGAAACAGACAATGATCATAACTGATTTTTTTTTTCAAACAAAGGATGAATCTTCTAATCTGTTAATTCGATTCTGCAGTAAACTATCTCAGAAACGAATGACCTGGATAACTCAGGAACACAACTTTATTAGATTATCGCATGCAGTCTCAGTTTTACTTGGCGAAACGAAAGCAACTGTTTGATGTAGAATATTCAGTCACAAATAACGGCGGGTGAGAGATTCTTCACGATCGGTTAAAGTTGCACGGCAATCAAGATGAAGCAGCATAATGGTTTTGACTTTGTATGTATCATCTTATCCTTGAATGATATAAACTTAGTAAAACAAGTTGAATGGAAAAGGAACGCAATGAAAGGAAAGGTTATCTTGTGCCTTCTACAGTGAACAACCACCGCAAAGAAATCAGCTGCTCGATTATAGCCATTTTGGTTGGTGAATAGACGTAATGATCTGAAAAAAGACTTCAGTGTTGTCGTGACAGTACTGATTTTTCTTGATTAAAACTCTGGAGCCGGGACACTGAGAGTGGAGAGAATGTAACACAAGTGACAAGGGCTCGACATATTAGGGCTAAGGGGTAAGAAAACTTCATGTCCAAGCAGGGCAGATGGTTGCAAAATCCAAAAATATGCGAAGGAAGAAATGTTAGCCTTAGGTTTCACCAAGAAACAAATTCCACAGCACCATTACCACAACAAACCAAAAGGGTCTATAAGATAATCTGTTAGCCTAATCCTTAAGACTCTTCATTGGGCCATCAAAATCTTCTCCCCTACAACAAATGAATCAAGATACCGTCAACTGTCAACGGGTCCCTAACACAAACTTTGTTTTCACAAAACCTAAAACTCATTCCACTTAAGCCTCATGCCCAAATTCTCTTTTAATAGATGTAAATCACGCCTCGTCCGGACTGCACAACCAAAAAGCCCCTTACAAGACTGATTCAAGAACAAAGTAGCTGAATGGAGGTCAGAAACACAAAAGTAAATGTTGATTCAGCAATCCATGACATTCCGTGAGGGAATCAAATGTTCCTCTGAACCAACTTAAGGCACTTCAGAGTCAAAACAACAGAAATATTACAAACAAAACTAAATGATCAATATGAATAATAAGATTAAAGATATAACATAAGTAGGCAAAGGAAAAAAAAAATGAAAAGAATTATCAACTAAAACTCGAAAACTATTCAACTCGCAACTGTTATCTCCTAAACAATTTAACCACAATGTTTCTTCATAGAAATGCACGAAGCAATATATGATCAAAGAACCACTACTTGTTCCTTCTAAATTTTACCTTCCCAGTACCAATTTACACTATATTTTCAATTAGTAAATTTTCTCGACAATTAGCAAATCAAATCCACCAATTTATCTAATGAACACAAAAAAATGTTTCTTCGTAGAAATGCACGAAGCAATATATGATCAAAGAACCACCACTTGTTCCTTCTAAATTTTCCTTCCCAGTGCCAATTTACACTAAATTTTCAATTTAGTAAATGTTCTCGACAATTAGTAAATCAAATCAATCAATTTATCTATTGAACACAAAACAATGTTTCTTCATAGAGATGAACGAAGCAATATATGATCAAAGAACCACCCTTGTTCCTTCTAAATTTACCTTCCCAGTTCCAATGACACTATAAACTTTCAATTTAGTAAATTTTCTCGACAATTAGTAAATCAAATCCACCAATTTATCTAATGAACACAAAATTACTCACCTTGACACAAAAAATTCCAAAAAACAAACCCCCAAAACAGGGATTGATTGAAAAATAAGAGCAAACTATAAGAATCAGCAAAAGCGTTTCAATTGCTCAACATCAAGCTCCAAGTTACCTACCTTCTATCGAACACATAAGCACGAAATAACTATTATTTCCAACAACTAAACAAAAGAGCAAAAAATTCAAACCGCTCAATTCGAACACGAAATTCTTACCTGACAATCCACAACTTTGCCGAAACGGCCAAAAGTACTTTCAAGCTGACGCTCCGTAACGTTCCATGACAAGCCTCCAACAAATATCCTATTATCTTGGTCCTTGTCCGCCATCGGTCACTCTAGAACACACAAGATTGTAAACTGAAAACCAAAAATCAGTGCCCTTAACTCATAAAACAACCAAAATACATAAAACAGAAGAAGTGTGCGATGAAAATTAAGCTCGTTGTTGGTAGAAAGAAGAGGAATAGGATTTACCTGCGGGCTAGGGTTTTGTAAAGTCGCCACAGAGTTTGAGAAACGACGAATGGCCGTAGCTGTTATGGTTTGGGCATTTTGGATGCGATGCCCTAAACCGTCTTTCTTTTTTCTTTTCTTTTTTTAATATTCCCTTTTTTTATAGGAATTAATATTTCTTTTTTTTTTTCTTTTTTTTTTTTTACATTTAACTCACAGGGCATTATATTAAAAATAAATAAATAAAATTACAGCATATCATAGGTTATAAATAAATTATTATATTTTTAAAAAATAGAAATATAACAAATAGATACTCCTCCGTCCATTTTCTAATATCTTATTTGATATTTATACGCATTTTTAAGCAATTAAGATTTTTGTTATAAAATAACAAATTTGTCCTTAATCTTGTGTATAGAAAATGAAAGAATAAATAAAGTAAAGGTAAAAGAGTAAATTTTGTGTATAAAAATAGAAATAGGACAATAATTGTTAGACATTAATAAAAAAGTAGGACGTTAGTTTATGGACGGAGAGAGTATTATTTATGCATTAATTATTTAATTTTTATTATTTTTAAAATTTTAAAAATATATATTTAAATGAAAAATAATACTCCTCCTTCAAAAAATTTAGTCTTATTCCTTTGAAATATATACTTATAATTTGAAGCAACCCAAAAAAGAATTGGGCTTGATCCTTGAATAGTTAAAGATTGTGCTGAACTTGAGGGTGTAAAAATTGGGCCCTAGGCAGGATTTAAAAAAAATAAAAAATATATTTTAAATTTAAATAATTTAAAATATATTAATAAATATATAAATGATTAATAAATCTAATTTTAGAGGTCAATTCAGATCGGTAGCTTCAACTAACTTTAAATTGGGCCTAAAAATTTAAATTGAGTTTCAAATTTTGTTGGGTAGGCTCAATTTAGTTTTATAAGAAATAGTTAATTGTAATTATATGAAAAATAAATTATATGAATTTAAATAAATAAAATTATGATAAAATAATACTTTTATTGATATTAAAATTTTTTGAATTAATTATATAAAAATTAATGATAAATTTTATTATATAGTTAAAAACATATTTAAATTAACTCTTTTTTTTATAGACGGCCCAATTTGAACAAGCCCAGACATGATCTGGTTTTTTAACCATACCGGGCTGGCCCAATCCCAATTTTTTTAGGGCTTAATTTAAAAAAAAAAAAAAAAAAATCAAATATGCATTGTCGTTGTTTTTCTATAAATTTAAAATCTAAAAGAAAAACGTAAAATAAGTATAAATAAAAAAAAAATTAAAAATATATCATATTGAGCCCACTAATTTATAAAAGGAAAAGTTAAGATAAAATTTAAATATATACGAACATTATTTAGATAATATAGATATTCATCAATTGGATCCGATGAAATGAAGATGAAATATAATCCATGTTATCATTACTTTAATATGATAAGTAGATTTTTATAATTTATAACATAAAATAATTATTTTGATAATATATATCTATCTAACGAATGAAATGAAGATAAAATTAAATCCATCGGTTAGGATTGTTTAGATTTTGATAATTTATAATATATAATAATTATTTAGATAATATAGATATCTATCAAAATGATGAAATCAAAACAAACGGTTCGAATTAGTCAAAGTTAGTCGGCTACATTACAAGAATTGTTATGAGTTATTTATTTTAATATGTGTCATTTAATTGTATACGTGGCACAATATTATGATGCCAAGAAATTAAAGGTGATGACTAAGGCTTTGCACATTGTTTATAAATAGTGTATTATATCAAATGAATGATGTGAGTTTGGCATTAGATAAATTTACTCTCTTTTAATCTCTCTATTTCTCTCTAAGCTAAATACATACACGTTTATATATATATTCCTAAGTTTGTAAGCATATATATACATATATATATCTATAATTAGATATAGTATTATTATATATTTTATAACACGTTATCAGCACGAGACATTGCCGAGAAAGTGTACATAAAAGATAGCGTATTTTTTTGTTGTTTTTTTTTTGTTGTATTACTCGAAAGGTTGCGGAATTTCTGATAAGTATTTATTTTCTTTTAACAACGTCTAATATAGCAAAGTTTGAATTTCCCCCACTGGCAATTACTGGAAATAATTATATGCCATGGGTAATGGATGTCGAGATGCACCTCGAATCAATGGGGCTTTCGAAAACAATAATTACTGAAAATGAATGCACAAATCAAGAACGTGCAAAGGCAATGATTTTCTTGCGTCATCGTATTGACAAAGCCCTAAAAATGAAATATTTAATGATGAAATATCTATTTGAACTATGGACAAATTTGAAAGATCGGTTTGGACACTTGAAATTTGTTATATTACCGAAAGCGAAACATGCATGGCAACACTTGCGTTTGCAAGATTTTAAAACAGTTGCTGATTATAATTCCATGATGTTCAAAATCACGTCTCAGTTAAGATTTTGTGAAGAAAATATTTCTGATAAGGATATGTTGGAAAAAACATTTACCACGTTTCATGCCTCTAATATAGTTTTACAGCAACAATATCGAGAAAGGAGTTTTAATAAATATTGTGATCTTATTACTTGTCTACTTGTTGCTGAACAGAATAACGAATTATTGTTAAAAAATCACAAATCGAGGCCAACTGGTGTGAGTCCATTCCCTGAAGTGAATGC